CACACGGGGGCGCCAACCACTTCACGTATGCCTTTATTAATTGTGATGAGGCTCAACCGGAAGGAAGAGACCAACGGCGGGAACACAGGGTTTTGGTTGGAACGGCAAGCGGTGGATCGGCGGGCATGTTTCTCTCTCTCTTACAGTGTTTTCACATATAGTTCGTTTTAAAAGAACCGAACCGAGTTCTGTTAAAGTGAACCTGGAAGGGAACCAACTGCAAGTGACCTCAGTTCTTTTTGTGTTCACAATGTAAGTGAACTCTAAAGAGGAGTTTTCTTTCTGGTCCATTGAGATCTCAGACCACTTCTTGTTCAGACCACAGCTCCATTAGCACTCGGACCCCTTTCACAGCACTCACGGTGTGCACAGCGCTCGCCACGTGGGCCGCATTCTCGGATAAATCCGAACTATCAGGTGACGAGAAGAACCGCCAGACCCGCCTGCTGCTCTCCTATTGGCCGCGCTTAAACGATTGGCCGAAGTCCATCGCGCAAAATTCGAAAAACGGCCCTGCGGGTCTGCCGCGGTGGGCTCCGTGTTCGGCTGTGCTCCTCAATGAAGCTCCATCCGGCGAATTTTCATTCATTCAGCGTTCAGTGTGAAAGCAGCTGAGAATTGCGTTGCATGCCCAGCTCGAGCCTTTAACACGGTATAATCACGCGAGCTCTCGCATCTGATCGCTTTAATAAATCAGCGCTGCTCTCTGTCGCAGATCACGGACAGACTTTATCCTGAGTAGAACCTTATAAATGATCCTTGGTCTGTTTACCTGTTGAAGTGCTGAAGACTGTGGCTGTGTGTACGGCGAGCATCGAGGTCTTCACCATAAAGCACAGCTGAAGCGGACTGGGGCCGTTTTGTTTTCACAATGCACAATTTAATCGAACCACAAAACGAACTACAAACGAACCGAACTGAGACCACCTCTCGAGGTGGTCTCAGTTCGGTTCGTTTAGGGGGGTCTGAGTTCGTTTGGCGTGTTCACATATGCAAAAGAAACCATGACTCAGCGGTCTGAGTCCACTTCAGACGCTGAAACGGCCCAAGTGTGAAAACACCCTTAGGCTCTCGTTCCCCTTTTTGGATTCTTGGTGTATATATTTAGGATTTTTGTCGGAGCACCCATTCCAGTGGGCTTTGGTTACAGTCAGGACTAGAATTTATTAATTAGACCCTAGACAACTTGCCATTTCTTTCGGCCTTAGTGGTTCCTAAGTTCGTAACATGTGGAGGGCTCGTCCGGTTCCTGAAAGGATGTATGGCTATGTTTCTGTAGTGGGCTGGTGCTAGTATTATGTTAGCATTGTGGCTAATTGCGGTTAGCATGCTAACGGCATTGGGTATGGGCCTGGTTTTGAGGAAATGCTGACACTAAGTGTTTGCATTTGTTAAATGAGCAGCTCGTTTGCATGTTATTTTGTTGATGTGGTCAATGTGGCTATACAAAACGAGGCTGTGTCATTTAAAAGGGTGAATTCGTGAGCAACTAGTAGCTTTCCACAGTACATTGATGGGTCTTGTGTTTTGTGTCGGTGTATTGGGTTTGACGTAAGCTAGCGGTATTGTGTTTGGTGTCTTTGATATTCGGTTAATAGAGCAACAATGGCTGAATTTGATCCAGAGGAGTTTTTTGAGCAGGAGGTAAACTGTGTGCGCTTAGTCAGAGCCTCTCAAAGCCTAACTTATTGAAATTAGCACATTTTTGTGAGATAGAAGTCCCTCTGGAAGCCAAGAAAAGCATAATAATAAGTGGAGTGTTACTTTGTCTTGGAGTTCCAGATATGGAGGCAGAATCAAGTAAACGTAGAGAAGAGTTGCAGGAGGAGGAGAGTCGAAAAGAGAGAGATTTGGCAAGAAAAGAGGGAATTTGCATTTATCCAAAAGGATAGAGAAGAGGCAGTAGCTCTAGTAAAGTTAGAATTAGAACAAGCTAAAGTGAGACAGCAAGAGAATAATCGGCAATGTGCTCATGAAGCTAGGTTTGACCTTACTAAGTGTTTTGCCCTTATGCCCTGATTTAGTCCAGATCCGGTTGGTGTTTTTTTTAAAACATTTGAACTTATTGCGATAGAGAGGAACTAGCCCAATGATGAGTGGGTAACTCTTATTCATAGGGAACTGACAGGAAAAGCTCAAGAGGCTAATGCATGGTGGATAGTAATAATTATGAGGTAGTTTAAAGAGCTGTGCTGAGAGCATATGAACTTGTACCAGAGGTGTATAGGCAGCAGTTTCGCTCAGAAGGACTAAAGGTAGGACAGACATATGGAGATTTAGCCAGACGGCAGGAACTACTTTTTGACAAATGGTTGAGAGCTAGCGAGGTGTATACGTTTCAGGAGCTGAAGCAGCTGATACTTAGAACAATTTAAAAACTGGGTTCCACGGCAGCTAGAGGTTCATCTAAACGAGCAATCAGTAGAATCTGCTTTGAAAGCTGCAGAATGAGCAGATAACTATGTGTTGGTACATAGGGAGTTTTGGCAAGATAAACCGAGGAGCAGCGTTAGGGAGCTCACTACTGATGAGAAAAGACATTATTTCAAGCCTAAGAGTGAGCAACGAACATCAGCTAAGTTTCACTCGAGGGGAGGGCTATCTAGAAAGCCTTCTTTTCCCGATGACATAAAATGTTACTACTGCAAGAAACCAGGGCACATGAAATCTCGTTGCCCCGCCTCCTGCTTGAAGGTGTTGGGGTAGAATATGGTAGTGTCCCTCTCCATAAGGTGTTCCTGAGATCAAATTTAGTTACTGGTTATGTCACTGTTGGAGTGATGCCTTCTTTGCCTGTGAAGGGCATTAGTCTCATTTTGGGAAATTATTTAGCAGGAGATCAGCTCTGTGTGACACCAGTGGTGAGTAATGTTCCTTGCTTGACTCTAGAGACAGAGGCCCTGGAGCAGGAGTATCCTGTAGGTTTTCTGGCGTGCGTTATTACACGTTCAAGGTCCAAGAATCAGGTCAGGTTGGCTGAGTCTATCGAAAAGTGCCAGACTAAATCAGTAGATTCTTCTCTTTCCCAGTTAGGTAGACCTTGTATAAGTTCTCAGTTTAGCCGTGATGTTCTTATTAAAGAGCAAAAGAATGACCCTGTCCTGTCTGATTTAAGAGTGACAGCAGCTTCAGTTGAAGAGAGTAAGGAGATGGCTGAGGGTTATTATATTCAGGAAGGGGTGCTTATGCGCAAATGGAGGCCACCTGACCATCCAGCTGTAGAGGAGTGGACGGTGGTGGAGCAGGTTGTACTTCCTCAGTGTTTTCGGGAAGAGGTTTTGCGGTTGGCACATAAAACTTCTATGGCAGGTCATTTAAGCATATGAAAAACCCAAGCTAGGATTCTTAAATATTTTTATTGGCCAAAGCTGCACAAAGATGTAGTGGCCTTTTGTCGGTCTTGCCACACCTGTCAAGTAGCCGGAAAGCCCAATCAGAAAATTCCTGTGGCCCCACTATTCCCTCTTCCAGTGGTTGAAGAGCCGTTTTCTCATGTGTTAATTGATTGTGTTGGACCACTTCCTAAAACTAAAGGGAAATAAATTCTTGTTTACAATAATGGATGTTACAACTCGTTTTCCTGAAGCTGTCCCATTGCGTAACATTAAAGCTCAAACAGTTGTTGATGCTTTGCTCCAATTTTTTTCCCGGTTTGGTTTGCCTAAGGAGGTTCAATCAGATAGAGGGACTAATTTTACATCAGGAGTGTTTCAGCAAGCGATGCATGAACTTGGCATCACCCAGATTGTGTCCTCAGCCTATCATCCACAGTCACAGGGAGCGATCGAAAGGTATCATCAGACTTTGAAGTCTATGGTTAAGAAATTGTGTTCAGTTTCCTGTAGATTGGGATTGTGCCATACCCTTCCTTATGTTTGCTGTTAGAGATTCAGTGAATGATAGCACGGGTTTTACTCCATTCGAGTTGGTTTTTGGGCATGAGGTCAGAGGCCCCCTCAAGATGGCCAAAGAGAAACTTCTGGGACAGGAAGCAGGGGGCAGTCTTTTGCACTATGTGTCTTGTTTTAAAGAACGGTTGACTTCAGCATGTAAACTGGCAAGAGAAAATTTGAAAGGGGCACAGAAGCATATGAAGGGCTATTATGATAGAAAGGCAGTGGAAAGAGCCTTTGAAACTGGGGACAAGGTTTTAATGTTAACCCCTATGCGAGATGACAGTCTTAGTGCAGCTTTTAGTGGGCCATATACCGTCATAAAGAAAGTGAGTGATCGTAATTATGTGGTTAGCACTCCTGATGGTAGGAAAAAATCTAAGCTATGCCACATTAATCTGCTTAAACCTTACCATCGCTGTGCAGCAGAGGTGCTGGTTTCATCTGCATCTCCAGCATATAGTGAGGCTGAGACGGAGGAGGTGGTGATGGTGGAACTGGTGGGTGCCCGGTTGCTTAACTCTGTTGTTATGGAGAGCCTAAATGAACATCTCTGACATTTGTCCAAAGAACATTTGTTGCAACAGGATGTTAGAACCTTGATAAGTGGTTTCCCTGAGGTGTTTCGAGATAGACCTGATCTCACCACATTAGTAGTCCATGATGTCGAGGCTGGTGATGTTGCACCTATTTAACAGCACCCTTATAGACTGTCTCCTTCTAAACTAAGTATGGTTAAACAAGAACTGGCATATGTGGAAAAGATTGGTGTTATAGAACCAGGGCAGAGTGATTGGGCAGAGTGATTGGACCTCACCCGTGGTGCTGTTTTCAAAGCCTGATAATTCGCTGAGGTTGTGCATAGATTATCGAAAGGTGAATCAAGTGACCAAGACAGATGCTTTTCCTATTCCTCGGTTAGAGGATTGGATAGATCGTATTGGTAGAGCTCAGTATGTGTCCAAACTTGATTTGCTAAAAGGCTACTGGCAGGTTCCACTCTCAGATAGGGCAAAGGAAATCTCTGCTTTTGTAACTCCAGATTCTTTATATGTCTGCAAGGTTCTTCCTTTTGGGATGAAGAACGCGCCAGCGACCTTTCCACGGTTAATGAATCAAGTCCCAGCTGGCCTTAATAATGTAGTTATTTACATTGATGATGTGGTTGTCTATAGTGACTCCTGGCAAGAACACGTACATCATTTACGGGAGTTGCTGCAGAGATTACAACAGGCTAGACTTGTTGTTAATTTGGAAAAGTGTGAAATTGCAAGAGGTCAGGTCACTTATTTGGGTCACCGAGTTGGGCAAGGGAAGGTAATGCCGAAGCGGGCTAAAATCCAAGCAATTGTAGATATGCCCCTACCAAAATCTCGTAAGGATTTGATGCGGGTATTGGGCATGTGTGGGTTCTACAGGTGGTTTGTTCCAAATTTTGCAGCAGTGGCAACACCCCTGACTAACCTCCTGAAGAAAGGGGCTAAGTTCACTTGGTCTAGTGCTTGTGCAAAGGCATTTGAGCAAATCAAAGCAGTGCTGACCTGTGAGCCAGTGTTGGCTGCACCAGATTTTTATGCCCCATTTAAGTTGGCGGTGGATGCTTGTGAGGTAGGCATGGGTGCTGTCCTACTACAGTCTGATGCTGCTGGTATTGATAAGCCAGTAGCATATTTTTCCAAGAAGTTAAACAAGCATCAAAGATTGTATTCCACCATTGAGAAGGAGGCGTTGGCTTTGGTGTTGGCTATACAACATTTTGAAGTGTATGTGTTTAGTTCCGTTGGGGATGTGGTAATCTATAGTGATCATAACCCCCTGACCTTTCTTGCAAAGTTTAGGACTGCAAACCAGTGGGTGTTTAGGTGGAGCTTAGTACTACAGCCCTATAACTTAGTGGTGGTGCATGTGGCTGGTAGAGAGAATGTGATTGCTGACACTCTGTCCAGGCTGCATCCAAGGGATGGCAAGGTCTGAGTTGGGAAGCTTACTGTACTGAAGTTTACTCTCGTGATAATCTCGAATTTTGTTTATTTGTCATTAGTAGACCTGTATTGTGGAAATATGGTGTAATTGTAATGACAAGAAAGGGAGTGGGGAGCTGATGGTATATTCAAAAGGAAAAAGGGCTTAAGGGTTTTTGTTTTGTTAGGGTTTTTTTTGTTTTTGTTCCTCTTTGGGCGGGGGAGAGATGTTAGGAAAGTTAGGAGTTGGGGGCAGATACTGACTTTCATGTTGGAACCACACGGGGGCGCCAACCACCTCATGTATGCCTTTATTAATTGTGATGAGGCTCAGCCAGAAGGAGGAAACCAACGGCGGGAACACAGGGTTTTGGTTGGAACGGCAAGCATTGGACCGGCGGGCGTCTTTCTCTCTCTCTCTCAGGTTCTCGTTCCTCTTTTTGGATTTTTTTCGGAGCACCCATTCCATTGACTGATAAAAACTGAACGCAATCAGGTTGTGACAGCGGAAATACGAAAAAGTAACTCAGTATTTAAGTAGTTTTTCAAGGCCCTATCCATGGCGCCCGGGGAGCAGTTGGGGGTTGGGTGCCTTGCTCAAGGGCACTTCGGCCAAGGGGAAAGAACTGGCAACCTTCCGGTCACAAGGCTGGTTCCCTAACCTCCAGCCCACGACTGCCCCATTTAGTGTTCACACTACAACGGCTATGTGGTCATATGCATTACTTACGACCTCCTAAAGGTGGTTTGAGTGATCAGATCTTGTGTCTCCTAGACCCACTGGACCCTGTTCACACATGTACTTAGTGCTGGCCACTTGTGATAGGATCACCTAAGACATGCCAATGCCATATCAGGTCTAAACTTTTATCAACTAATTAATTAATATATATATTTATTTTAGGTAGTTAATAAATGACTTGTCAACAGTTTGGATGAGGGACCTAGATAACAGAAAAAAAACAGAGGTTACATCAAATTAAGCTTCTGCCTCCATGATGTTTTAGAATAAGGTCCACAATGCTGATAATTCTAAATGACCTAAAAGCAATTTTAACTAACCTTAATAACAAGCTGAGGTGTATAAAATCATTAGTAACATTAGTGACATTAACAGTACAAATGCAATAATACAATAGGATAAAGAATTTTATAAACAATTTACTGTCTTCTAAGAAGTGTCATCATTTATCATCACGTTTTACATGTTTTACACAAGTCTCAAAGAAAGACACACTTTGACCACGCGGACAGATTATTTATTTATTTATTTATTTTTAAGTTTGTCCAGTTCTTTTTATAGTTTCTTAATTACCTCACTGTTTTCGACCTCAGTGCCTTTAACAGATTCTGCAAAAGTTCATTATCTTTCTGAAGGTCTTCAATTCTTTTTTTTTTTCATCATTGAACTCGTTGAACTGCTCAGCCTGCTTTCTGGCTTCATCTTCATATTTATTTTCCATCTCTTCTATTTTCTGATCATAGTTCTTTTTCATTTCCTCACGTTCCTTCTCCTCTCTCTCTCGTCTTGCTGTGTCTTCTCTCTCTCTCCTCCTAATCTCCTCTCGCTGTTCTCTCTCCGTCTCCTCTCTACGTTTCTGCAGTCTTTGCGTCTCTTCTCTTCTTTCATCATCCTCACGTCTTCTTCTCTCCCACTCTTCCCTCCTCATTTTCTCCAGCTGCTCATAATGCTCTTTCATTTGTGCTTCCATTGCACATTTCTTTTCCTCATTCTCTCTCTCTCTCCTCTCTGTCTCTTCCCTCCATTGTCGTTTCTCCTCCTCTCTCTGACGTCTTTCTTCTTCCATCTCCCTTTCAAATTCCTCTCTCAATCTGTCTTGTTCTTCTTCTTTTGCTCTTAGCTCTTCTGCGTGTCTCTGTTTTCTTAGCTGGTCCTCTTCCTCCCGTCTTTTCATCTCTCTTTTCTTTTCTTCTTCCCATTCGCTCTGTTTACGCTTTAGGTCCTCTTGTATCTCTTTTTTCTCGTGTTCAGCCTCTTTTATTTTCCTCTCCCAATTGTGCCTCTCGTTCTCTTCCTCTTGTCTTCTTTTGTCCTCTTCCAGATCTTTCCTTTTACGCTCTTCCTCCTGTCTCTTTCTCAGCTCCTCCATGGTACGCTTCTGTTGATTCATGAAAATTTCTTTTACTTGTTTGTATCTCTCTTCTCTCTTTTTATCCTCCTCCTCTCTGTCTCTTAACCATTTTTCAAATTCAGTTCTCTTTTTTTTGTTGCCTCTTTCCAACTTATTAATTCTTTTTTGCCATTTCTTCACTTGTAATTTTTCTTCTAACATCTTGTCCTCCATCTCCCATTTCTTCTTCTCTAGTTCATCTTTTTCTTCAAACTCTTGTTTGAGGGTTTCCATCTTTTCTCTGAACTTCCTCTCCATTTGGAGCTTTTCTTCCTCAGCCTTTTGTTTTTCTTTCTCTTGTCTTTTCTTCATCTCTTCCATTTCTTTGCTGTATTTGTTTTTCAGTTTCTCCTTTTCAGCTTCGATCTCTCGCTCTTTCTCTTTCAGAATTTCTTCAATTCTCTTTTTGATGGACATTTCCGCCTCTTCGAACATGCTGTTTGTGAAGTGCTGACTTGACGTGTTTGAGTTTATCATCATTTCTATCTGTCCTAAAAGTTCAGAAACTTGGGTGCGGTCTTCTTTTTCTTTGTTATTAAATACTATATATCTGTTTCCACAGTCTCTGAGCAGCTTGTTGATTTGTTCAATGTTACTTTCCTCAATGAATTGTTCTATTGACTTATTTCCCAGGTTATCTCCTCCAGTGAACAGCACTATAGTGAACATTGCAGCCTTTGGACCAAATGTCATTTTTATCAGATCTAAAGTCTCTAATTCTTCTTTGGTGAATCTTCCCAAACTCAGCACAATGAGGAAAGCGTGGGGTCCGGGTGCTAACAGTGAGAAGCACTTCACAATTTCTTGCTGTACGTCTTCATTTGATAGTTTGGTGTCAAAGAGGCCTGGAGTGTCAACAACAGCAACCGATTTTCCCTCAATCTCACCAACTCCTTTTTGGCAAACCCTTGTCACAGAACCCATACTCATTTCACTTTTAAATACATCTCTTCCAAGGATGGTGTTTCCTGTTGCACTCTTACCACTTCCTGTTTTTCCAATCAGTACCACCCTTAAGCAGCTGGAAACCTGTGGTTCATCTTTATCTTCACCTGAAAATGAGAAGTTACACATTATTTTGGTAAGATCAACTCAATCACAATTTTGTCATATAAAATAAAGATTTTTACATTTTTGTTTGATATTTGCTGATACCTCTCAGTCTCTCATACACATATGTCTAGGGTGTATTTGATTTTCCCTGGTCCTGACTGTATTCGAGACTCAGCGTTGTAGTTTGTGAGACGTGTGTCTAAATGTAGTTTTAAACCACTGAAAGGCCAACAGTCCAACGAGATTCGCCTGCTGTCCAAATCATAGAATCCTAACATTTCTCTCCCTTCTATCTATTTATCTATCTATCTATCTGCTTTTATCACACTACTATACAGTACTAACAACTCTCAAATCATCCTTTCTTTTCTGCTTATATACAATACAGATTACTTCTACAATAAAATCTTTAGTGCCAAATTACAGCAAAAATTTCATAACATTACCAAAGTAACAAAACCTTCATATTTCCCAACTCAGACCTCACCATCCTTCAGCCTGGACAGAGTGTCGAAAAACATGTTACCTCTTCCAGTAACATGCTTCACCACCGAGCTATAAGGCTGTAGCACCAAGCCCACAAAAACACAGACTGGTTTGCAGTTCTGAACTGTGCAGGAAAGGTCAAGGGACTGTGATCACTAACGATTACTACATTCCCTACTGAACTGGACATACACACTTCGAAATGTTGTATAGCCAACACCAAAGCCAGCGCAGTGATGAAATAGTCTTTGATGTTTATTTAGCTTAATAGAAAAATATGCTACTGCTTCATTAATACCAGCTGCATCAGCTTGTAGTAAGACAGCACTCCCGCCTACCTCACAAGCAACCACTGCCAATTTAAATGGAGAATTAAAACCTGGTGCAGCCAACACTGCTTACAGGTCAACACGGCCTGAATTTGCTTAAAAGCCTGTACAAATGCACTAGTCCAGGTGAACTTGACCCCTTTCTTTAGGAGGTTTGTCAAAGGTGCTGCCACAGCAGCTAAATGTGGAACAAACTGCCTGTAGAATCCACACATGCCCAACACCCTTATCAGCTCTCTGTAAGATTTTGGTACTGGTCTTGTCTATAATGGCTTAAATCTTAGCAAATTTCAGCGTTACCTTCCCTCGCCCAACCTGGGGACCCAAATGAATGACCACTACCGACTTTACACTTCAAACTGACTACAAATCCGGTTTGCTGTAACTTTTGAGCAACTGCTGTAAATGATGTATCTGTTCTTGCTTAAGGTCAGTGTGGATGACCACATCATCAATGCAAATAACCACCAAATAACCATCATCTGATTCATCAGCCTTTGAGGGGTTGCTGATGCATTCTTTATGCCAAAAGGAAGATCCTTGAGAACATATAACGAATCAGGAGTCACAGACAGTGGAATGACACTGACACTGAGCTCTACCAATATGATCTATGCAATCCTTTAACTAAGGAATAAGAAAAGCATCTTGGAAATTTGATTCACCCTCTGGTAGTCTATACACAAGTTGTCTAGTGTCTAATTCTTAGAACTCTGGGGCAATTCTGTGTAATCTTTTGCTATTTTGGTCAATAACAATTATAAAGTATTTGAATGATACAGTCACACATGCCATGTCTTATTTTCAGGAGATGCTGGGCTACCCAGATATGGTTTTATTGGGCTAGTAAATGCTAACAGAATTTTGATTATGAATTTGGCTAATTTTTTATCAAAAATTTACCTAGTGCCTGCAAAATTTGGTAAATGTTTGCTTGTACAGATCTTGAAGTGTCACCTCTGATATCTTATGAGAAATTGCTAATCTAGAGTGTCTGTGAGCTGAAAATGTTTGAATTTTGATGATGGTTCATTTTATTGCTTATTAGTGAGTAAACATATACGATTACCAAATGGTGGCCATGTTTTTAATGTTTTTAATTAATTTTCTTTCATTCTGGATTCATGATGAACACTAAAACTCTGACACACAGCAAGACACGCTTTATTTTTTATTTCAAAAATGGGAAATGTGTTAGCATTAACTGACTAGTAGCTAGTTAAACTATATCTAGTAACTAGTTAATAGTTGCATTTATACCCAGTTAATAATTTATCTCAGTGAAGTCATCAAACTGAAACCAAAATCCAATTTGATTTGTGATTTAAAACCTGACAGGGCAAACTTTCATATTTCACACATTTACTGAGTTGCTAATTCATCTGGTGCACAAATTAAGTACCAAGATGTGCTTCCTTTGGCCTTCAGAATGCCTGGGCATGGATTCTACACAATGCTGGATGTGTTGTGCAGGTATGTGGCGACATGTAGAAATGACTGCATTGTGCGGATGCTGCAGACTGGATGGCTGCAGTCTTACTGTGAACCACCTCTTTCACCTTGTCCTGAAGATGCTCGATAGGACTGAGATCTGGGGACTGCTAAGTCCACACACTTCATCTTGATTCTGAAACCATTTGGTCATAATACATGCCTTTAGACATGGTGTACTGTCATGCTCAAAGCTCCCATCCAAGTGTGGATAAACCATGAAAGGCCATGAAAGGATTAATTTGGTCAGCAACATATTTTTTCAGATATTCTTCTATCAGATGTTCTTCAGTCGGTATCAGGGGTCCCTACACGCTATAATGGAAACATAAACCACACATTTTCTGGTAGATCTACAGGCTTGTGACTGCCCAGTCAGAAGACAGAAAACTGCCAAGGGTAAACAAATGCAAAGTGCTCTTTTATGAAGTATCTTTTCATTAAGCTTTTCATTAAGGAAATAAAAAACTGATTTGATTGATCAATTTGGAAAATAAGATGCCTGTAGAACTTGGCATGCCTATCTTTACTGTCCTTCAAACCAGACTTCTGTTCGTCTCCAGAGAGTCTGCTTTCTGTTTTGTGGTGTGTGGTAGTGGGTGTTTGATATAACAGTACTACACCAAAGATACACATGAAAACAAAGTGCTGGCTCAGCAGCTGGGAAATGACGGCTTCAAATAACATTTTTTGAATTACATAAAGTTGGGACACTGTGATTATTGATCCAAAAGCCTTACTGCTGTCAGCAGAGCAGGCATGTGTTTGCTACTGGTGACTAACATTTAGCTTCATAAACAAAAGTTTAGTTTTTAATGTACAGTGTGATTTGTTTATTCAAATGTGTCCTCAACTTATATTTAACTGGAAATTAAATGCATGTAAGTGTGGACTCTCATTTTTTGCACAGTACTTTCCATGTATTGGTTCAAGAACAGGGCTTTAAAAGTCATATGATTTATTAAAATGTATAAAGTCCATTGTCTTACTTTAAGGGTTGATCTGAAAAACTCTGAAAAAGTGCTTACCTTCTGGCTGGAGCTTCCTCTTTAACTCCTGGTTTTCTTTCTCTAACTCCTGGATTTCTTTCTCCTTTTTGCTCAGCTCTTCTTTATACTGTTCCTGTAGTTCACACCTAACTCTTTCCTCTTGAGCTTTCACGTACATGTAAAGACAATATGGCTGTGTTTCTGTCTTTTCTTTAATTTCCTTTAACAGTTTTCCAATTGTTTGTTGTTGCTTGTTTTTTCCTGTTTTTGTTTCTACTAATATATGTTTATGTTTACAAATGGCAAGAAAGTTCTTTATGTCGGTGTTGTGTTCTACAAAATCTATCACAGCACGTGTTGCTTTCTGCGCTATAAAGAGAACTATTAAATGATCGTTGATTTTGGAGCTGAAAATGTTCTGGATCTTCTCCATTTCTCCTTTGTCTTCATCAGTGAGGGGACCAACTGGAATGATGAGGAGGAACGCATGAACTCCTGGATCACACAGAGAGACACAGTGGAGAGCCTCTCGCATCACTTCCTCCTCTGAGTGAGGTGTGTTGTAGAGAGCCGGCATCTTCACCAGGGTGATCGAGCGTCTAGACACCGCTCCATCTCTCCTCACGCACTCTGAGCTGGGCTCTGGTCTGCGCTTATTTGTGCCTAGAATGAGATCTGATACTGAGGCCTTCAGTGCTCCATCACTGCCACACAGCACCAAGTTCAACCTCTGGGGCACTGAAAGAGAAACAAACTGGAACCTGTCAGGTTTAGAAATTTACACTAAAGAATTACATAAAAATAAGCCACAGCAAAATATGAATCACGTTAAGATGTAAATAATAAGATGGAAAAAAAAAATGATGAGATAAATAAATTCAATACATGTATTAAAAAAATTAAACTTCATTAATTTATAAGCTTATAAATGAGTTGAGAAACATTTAATTTAGAATATAATTGACTAGAACTCACCCTTACTGTCATGTTGTCTTCCAAAATGAGAGAATAGACCCCAAGATCTTCTTGCTGTTTTTGGAATATAAATGTCAGTGACCAAAACCACTGTTATCATGAGTGTTGCAGTCTGATTATCACACACTATAACACTGGTAAAATTCTAATATCTTGTTTATTATAATTGTTTTGGATAATTTGGTGAATTTAAAATCATTTCATAAAATTGCGCTTACATGTTTCCCTCTGTCTGCTCTCTTTTTGTAGAATATTTTTGCCCACCATTTGTTCAGGTTTTTTCTGCGTTGCTGTTTGTTGCTGCTGCTGTTGTTCTATTGGAGCCATCACAAAATCCTCCCACTTAACATGATTCTCTCCATTCTCTTCAATCATCTTCTCCATCATCTCCACAAGAGCAGAAGGACTGCTTTCACTTCTTAAGTCAAAATGCCACTTAATACATTCTGTAATCTTATCAGAGACGCTCTGTTCATCTGGATCTACACTGCTGCCTAACTTTGTTGTCAGTACCATGGTGTATTTAAGGGCATCATCAGATAAATGTCTGTAGATGTTATTCAGATGGTTTCTGTCTGCCTCAGTGAAGTCTTCTGGCTGTATGACCAGCATTATAATGTGAGGTCCAGGATCACAAAGAGGCATGCACTGTTTCACTCTCTCACTCAGCTCCTCTTCAGAGAGTCCGCTATCAAACAGGTAAGTTGTGTTGATGAGTATGATGTCTCTTTCTTCCATTTTTTCTCTGGCTCCCTCACTGTGCTGCTCTAGTGAACAAGGAGGAGCTTCAGCATCAAACACGTCTCTTCTCAGGATGAAGTTTTCCACGCTTCTGTTTTCCTGGCTGTTCTTCCCCAGCACCATAATCCTCACTACATTATGAAATTGAAAAAAAAAAAAAATTAAAAATATATTACTCTTCTTGCTTATTATAACATGCCATGGTTCAGTCTCATTATTAGTTTTCTCTAATTTCTTTTTCTATCAGTATCAATGTTTGTATGCAGCCAATTCATGATTTATTCACTTCATGAAAAAACTTGCCTAAGGTTATTTTTTCAAACATGCAATTTATGTTCATAGAACATTTTTTCCCCAAAGGGCCCGTATTCTACATTTTTTGCATGTATATTTTCTTCCCCAGTGTCCACTTATGATATTTGTCTTATTTAAGATGCCAAAAACATTTGTTATTTTTACATGACCAATTTCCAACTTTAAACTTTACCCCTTAAATTGAACAGGCTGTTTTTGTTACGATATCTTTAAGACCGATATATGTAAATGATCTCTGATCTCTGGAAAGTTTTGAAACTTTAACAATGTTTACATATTGCTTCAAACTTCAAAAAGGGGAAATTTATTTTCTATGATAAGGTACTGATATGATATTTAAAGTATGTTAATCCACTTAACAAGACAAACATGTACTCATCCATTTATACCCATTTCAACCCTCTTAGTTCTGGCAGTCAGATAGGTAGGTAGGTACATAGATACAGAGATAATCTTATTTCCAGATAAGAAAACTGTATTACAGAAACATCCTAAGTTGCCAAAATATCCTAAATATTTTCTTAACTTTAAGATAAACACCAGAGCGTCTTATGTTTTGATCATCTGTTTCTATTGTTGTATGCAGTGATTGGCAGCACAGTTCACTATGATTAACATAATGACGCTACATTAATCTACACTGAAAACGGTGCTTTGACTTGTGAGGTTTTTTTTAAACAGCGTTTTAAAGCCCCGGACACTGCAGACTTGATCTCCACTGTCTCCTCTTATTACTTTCGTGTGTTAATGTTGATTAAAGCTCGTTAGTTACAATATTACAGTGCTGGTGGTGAATAATGAGGAGACAGTGCTGAACGTGTGTCTGTTTATTAGGAGGGGTATCGTTAGCACGCTCGGCTAAAAGCGACTGGGAAATGAAACTGAGACTGTGGAGCAGCGACTGAAAAACAGCACGAAGCGCTGAAACAATATTATTAACTCAGTTTATCGCGCTTTAGTTTTATTTAGACCTTTTTTACCTCAGCAATGGTAGCTAATGTTAGCTGTCTGGCTAACTAACTTGATTACGTGTTTACGTTTCAGCTGTGCGAGTAGTGTCGGTTGCTAGGCAACAGACACGACAGTTGATTGTCGACTTCAATCGAGTAAGTTGGTTAAGATTTCCTAACCTGAGATAAGCTGCTGTGAGATGAGATGAGATTCTTAAATTAAGGTAAGATTTTCTCCTATAATACGAATTTGTGAAAAATCTTATCCTGACCTGTCAGAGCTTAAATTAAGACAAAAAAATAAACCCTGGACCACAACTCACCACACTACTTAGGCCAGGAATAACTCTGACTGTGTCATACCAACTTCTTTCCATGTTTAATGAGTGTGGCTCCTACCTGCTTCAGTTTGCTGAACCCAGGCTGTTGTACAAATATGTAAGGTAAAGAAACTATTGTTTTCCAGCAATTTCATCTCTGAGTTCCTCCATTTGTAGTGTGCTGCTGACTTCATTCAGTTAGCTAGTTTCTTTGCTGTAATGCTTTGAGATTATTTATTAAGATCCTGGATCTGTAAGTTTGTGGATATATACAGTGTAGCTTTCTTTGAGGACAATGTAGTCTGTATATCACTTTGCACTAAATAACGATGTAATTTTGTAGAACTTGACTGAAAACCCAGGAGAGCTTCAGTCTATGTGCCTTCAAAGATTTCAACTAAAGGCCCTTTTCCCGTGACTCTTTCAGGTGTTGGGCTGGTGGGGCACACAGATGCAAGATCCTTAATAAAAATAAAGGTCCTTCAGGGCTTGATATAATTCAACATTGGTAATGTCTGAACACAAGTCCGTATAATGAATAGAATGAGATTAACCAGAAATTTAGAAATTTAACCAGAGTTGGGTGAGGCAAGAATTTTATTAATATATACAGTGCCATGAAAAAGTATTTCCTCTATTTCTGCATACCTGTCACCCTAAATGGTTTCAGATCCTAAAACCAGATGTAATATTAGACAAGGAAAACCTGAGGAAACATAGAACATGCTCTTCATTTGAAGAATTGCTTTAATTCAGCCACATTAGAGGGCCTTTGAGCATGAACTGCCTATTCAAAGGGGTTCAATTCAGGACTTTGACTAGGCCACTCCATAACCTTCATTTGTTTTGAGTCGTTCAGAGGTGAACTTGCTGTTGTGCTTCAGCTCATTGTCTTGCTGCATAAGCCAACTGTGTTTAAGCTTCAAATCACAAACTGATGACTGGACCTGCAGGATTTTCTGGTAGAGCACAGAATTCACAGTTGCATCAGTTATGGCAAGTCTTTCAGGCCCTGAGGCAGCAAAGCATTCCCATACCACAGCCATGTTTTTCGGTTGTATGATGTTCTTATTGTGAAATGGTGTGTTACCCTTATGCCAGATGAAATGGGATCACTGTCTTCCACTTTCGACTCAACAGTTCTCGGGGCCTTTTTTGCAAACCTGCTTGGTTAGCAGTGGTTTCCACCTTGCTGCTCCCCCATGAATACCATTTTGTCCAGTTTCTTTTAATCATGGTATACTGTACAGCTTGTTAAACACTGTTAGTCAGCTTCACATTGCTGGAAAGGTTTTATTTCAGTGATGTTTAGATTCAGCAGTGCTGGTAGTAATCAAGCCTGGGTGGGTCTAGTTTATTTGATGCTAATTATCAACAACATTTGGTTAACTGAATAATTAATGGGGCAATTATTTGTTCACACAGGGCCGGCTGGTGTTGAGTAATGTGTTTTGCCTTGAACAAATGAAATAATCGCTGAAACACTATTTTGTGTTTATTCGTGTTGTCTTTGCCTTAAATATAAATATAAAAATTTCTTTGAAGATCTGAAATAATTACATGTAACAAATATGCAAAAAATAGAATTCAAGAAGGGGGCAAATATATTTTCACTGCAGTGCAGTTTCAATTCCAGAGAATATGAATGCAATGTAACTTACTTTCAGGAGGTGGGCTTTTCCTGCTCTGAGACTGTGATGGATCTGTGCCACAAACATAAGTTACACATTATTTTCTGCTGTGCTAATGTTATGTTGTATAATGCATGTATGCACAATATCTATCTGAATAAGTATACAAACATTCCAACATTCCAACCCCAAAATGTGAAATTGTAAATCATCCAACATTAAACTTATAATTCCTTATACTTCCAAGTTCCTTGTGTTCAAAAAGATCAATAGTATTAGTAAAAGATGTCCAAATTTTTGTTTCGCAACTGTTTTACACCAAGACACCCAGATTAATTTGCACTGCATTAGATCTGCCCATCATTTCATACTGCCTATCTCAGCTCAGTCTGCTCTGAGCACGTACAGTCATCATGAATCAGAAATCAGGGGGCATTTTCCTTCCATACTGAGAAGTATTTCTGAACTAAGAAGGTTACAAGAAAAAAATGGTCAATTTTGATTTCAGGTTGAGTTTAAATCTATTTTTAAAAATGCAATGCTCAGTTTGTTGTTGTTGAGTGTGTTGTTTCAGAAAATATCACAGCTGTGATTTGGTTGCAGGAAAAAGTCAAAGGCGGGTACAGTAGATCATCACTGCTGTGATTCAAAATAACACATAACCTCCAGTATGCTAACTGCTTTTAAACAACAGTTCTGCAAAGTAACAAAGTAAAACAAATAAGCCCAGATTGTACGAAATGTCATTTAAAATCACCAAATCCTTCTGCCACAAATTATAGTACCCGTTTTGCGTTACACATAGGCTCTCAAGTTTAGTTTTTGGATTGACAGGTTCAGAATTTGATGTAGTCCTGCACTCTCTCCTTCAGAACCAGACCAAATGGACCGCAGGTCAAATATTATCTTAGGCTCTTGGAAGACCTTTGATAGGCCGGCCGCTTCTAAAAAAATACTTCATGTGGTAGCAAGTAATTTATCTTGTTTTACTCGACTTAAATGTTTTGATTGAAACAATGGTTCGTTCAAAGTATTTTTAATTAGTAAATTTACTTGTTACCACATGAAAAAAGTAACTTTTTTACCGACGAACCATTCTTACAGTAAAAAGTTAGCTGTCATGTAAAATGAGTGGTTACAGCCAGTGCTGAGTGGAATGATACTTATTTTGAACATCTCTCAACCAATCTGAGTGTGGAAACTTGTATAATGTTGTATGTACAACCCCATTTTCAAAAAAGTTGGGACGCTGTGAAAAATGTAATTAAAAACAAAATGCAATGATGTGCAAATCATTTAAACCCTATATTTCATTGAAAATAATACAAAGACAACAAATCTAATGTTGAAACTGAGAAATTTTATTGTTTTCTGAAAAATATTTGCCCATTTTGAATTTGATGCCAGCAACACGTTCCCAAAAAGTTGGGACAGGGGCAACAAAAGGCTGGTAAAGTTGTGTAATACTAAAAAAAACACCTGGTGGTTGGTTGGCAACAGGTCAGTAACATGATTGGGCATAAAAAAAGCATCCCAGAGAGGTTGAGTCTTTCAGAAGTAAAGATGATGAGGGGCTCACCACTTTGTGAAAGACTGCACGATCAAATAGTGCAGCAATTCAAGAATAACGTTTCTCAACATAAAATAGCAAAGAACTTGTGCTTTTCATCATCTACAGTACATAATAACATTAAAAGATTCAGAGAATCTGTAGAAAGCTCTGTACCCAAGGGACAAGGCCAAAAACCATTATTTGCTGGCTGTGATCTTTGGGCCCTCAGACAGCACTGCATTAAAAACAGACATGATTCTGTAGTGGAAATCACTGCATGGGCTCAGAAACTCTTCTGAAAAACACTGTCTTTGAAAACAAAACCACATAAAAACAAGATCCAGAAATGCTGCCA